ATATAAACCTATATAAATAAAACCACTGTTTTTTACATTAGTAATTCCTTTTGTGCATAATTTTATATTATTGTTAATAATAAATTAATTAAAGCAACAAAACAACCCGAAGAGCCGGTTCTTTTTAGTGAGCTGAACCGGAAATCCCATCACTAGTCTATTGGCGGTGCAGCATGCCAGCAATTTGATTTCTTCCTATCACTATTTACTCTGAACAACCCATTAACACTAAATAAAGACAAGAAATCACAAAATATTAAGAGACAACATTTTATTACTGTCAGCCTTAAATATGAGCACACATTTTTCATCAATAAAATACATATGACCAACAACTCTATACAACTACCTTCAAGTAGTATTTACTGTAAGTGACCAAGTAGTATTGGGGTAAAAGTTATTGAATAGTGTTGAAATAAAATGACAAAAGTGCGAAGGATTAAAATATTCCAAGAGCTCAATTTACTTCATCTAAACATGTTTCAATCGTGTTTTATGAACACAAAATGCACAGTTTTATTGAATATGAAAAGTTGTGTTGATTTAACTCAGTTGTTTAAGTTTCTGCCAAAGCAAAACATTTGTGTGCAGCCAATGTCCACTATTGAATCAAGTAAATCAAACATGGCCTTTTTTCAGTGTAGGGTAGAATTTTAGTCATGTAAATAATCCAAAAATGAATCCCAACATATTGTGAGACAATGTCATGAATCTGCTAAGATAATCTCCGGGCAGTTGAGACAGATGTTTGTAATTGGTCATATAAACATGAACATGCAATGCTTCCAAAATACAAATCTTAGTGGGCTGTGATTCAAAATTGGCTCACAGAAAGAAAAAAATTATGTGTATCCAGCACTTCTCAGTGCGTTTTCATAAATGAATGCTGGTGCAGGATCAGAAATATGTATTTCTAAGATCCTCTGCTCATTCGCCTGGATTTTGTCATGGGTTTGGCTTGATTAGGACTTGCATATAATTTTTTTTAAAGTCATGCTTGGTGGGAATTGGGAGCCATTGCTCTAACATAGTGCAGACACAAAAAAAATGCAATATGCCTGCCTTCAATTTGTCTGAGAGATTAATTGTTACTGTGGTTGCTTATTTCCAATTTAAATAGGTATGTCAGCTCCTGTTGTGTTGAGTTTGCCTGAAAGAGATGCATATTATGTGCAGTTGCTGAAAGTGCATAGCATGTGGAAAAAGAATCAATTTTAATTCAACTCGTTTCAGTTTATTTCCATTTACATAGCGCCAAAGCACAAAAACTACCACAATCATCTCAAGGTGCTTTATACTGTATATTGTAGAGTAAAGATCCTACAACATTAAAGGGAAAATCTCAATAATCTGCCAACCCCCTAAGTGTAAGCACTTCTAGAAAGTGGGATGGAAAAACTCAGTTTTAACGAAAGAAACCTATGACAGAACCAGGCCTAGGGAAGGGTGGCCATCTGCAATGGCTGGTTTGGGGTGAGGGGAAAGAAAAGATAAAGGGCAAAGAGTGACAAGACAAAAAAAATATTTAAATTATTTTCTAAAAACTAAATGTAATAGTGCAGTCTTTCACAATCAGTTTTTGACTTTTAATTACTAAAGGGAATGATTTCTTAAATTACATTTCAATTTAATTCTATTTTATTTATAAAAAAAAAATGACATTTAGCAAAACACTGTAATCATCACACAAGGTCAGACTTCTTACTTAAAGGAAAATTCAGATGTATTTCAAACTAGTGTAGTTCCTTTGAATGTCCAAGAATTGAAAATTAATTAAGTATCAAGCTAATGTAGCTATGATTTGTCACTGTTAGCCAGTGCTGCCTGTGGCTGTATTACAGGAAACAATCAAAATGTTGTTATTCCAAAACAAAAACCTGCAGACAGAAACATCATGAAGCTGTTCAAAGACTTGAACAATCAAAATAGTCTGCAAAGATGAATATAAGTACGCCTGAATTAAGGTTAGCTGGAAGGTTATCCAAAACACATGCAATTTCTATTTTAGCACAAACCCTTGAACCATAGTAGTCACATTAAAGGGAAACATTAAAAGTTTAATTACAACAGAATTTGAATTAAAGTGAACCTAGTTAAGACCAACTGGACAACATGAGGACAAAGAAAGATTTTGTTTTGGTTTTTCAACTAAATGTGCATTAAATGGGAAATTAGCTGTGTTGTGTGGCACAAATCATTACACTGCCTCGCAACATGCAATTTGACTGTCTTTATTTAACTGCTCTGCAAGCCAGCTTGTCTAACCTTGAGGCTGACAATGTCCATATCGGATCAAGAACACTGGCACTAGGTAATACAAAAGGCTTAAAAAAATCCAAAATAAGCCTGTAAAGAGGCAGCATGCATAGGTTTTCTCCACATGCTTTTCCCTTTTCTGTGTTTGGAACAACAGGGATTTGAAAACAATGAAATTAAAATTACCTTTTACTCTTAGCTTTGTACATCTCAGACCAACACGAAAGCTTTAGAAAATATAATCCAGTTGGATTTTCAACAATGATCTGACAGGCATTGACTCTTCTCTATGTCATCCTCTGATCATGGATGATACTTATCGTTCCCAAAATGTTGTGTTCTGTGCCTTCTGGGGGATTTTTGTTTCTTGGAGGCCTTGAACTTATGATCTCATTGGCGGAATTTTAGGAGTAATCCTGTTTTGTCTGCATCTGAGGCTGAATCTCAGGTGGATCCTGGAGTCAGCTATCTTACTTGCTGTTTTCTCGTACTCATGTAGTAGCTTTAGGCAGTCTTTGCCAAAGTGGGTTAAAATGTCTTGATGCATCCAGGTAAGGAAAACCACCAAGTCATTGGCTCAGGTATGTGGATGACAATCTCAGGATGTACCACAATTCACTGATCACATTAACTCGGTAGACAAACACATCAAGTTCACCAGGGAGGATATGAAAAATGACAGACTAGCCTTCTTAAACTGTAAGATTTTCATCAGTAATGGGGGTCATTTAAAAGTTGATGTGTACCGTCTACCTACGCATATGGATCAGTATTCAAGGTTTAACTCTCATCATCCACTAAAGCAAAAACTGGTTGTGATCAGGATGGTACAACATAGAGCGAACACCATCCCCACAGATACAGCAGCCAAGGAAGCAGAAAAACATCATATCAAGATGGCCTTGAGTAAATGCGCCAAAAACTGGTCTACCCCAAGGATCAAATCACCAGATACAAACAGAGTAATGTAGTGTACGCTGCTAAGTGCCAGAAGAATTGCCATGATTTATACATCGGGGAAACCAAACAACCTCTGGCAAAGTAGATGGCACAACAAGAGGTAACTCATCAGGCCAAGACTTTGCAGTCTATATAATCCTACAGGCTGGTGCATACTCTTTCCACTAACCTGTAGGATGAAGCTGTACCGGTACACATCCTGGACAGGGAGGAGTGCTAGTTTGAGTGGGGAGTGAAGGAGGCCATTTACGTGAAAAGGGAAAGACCATCTCTGAATTGAGGAAGGAGCCTAAGGGTACATCTTTCGCTATCTTACAATGCTGTGATTGCAGCCATTTCCCAACTCTCTATGAATGGTACTGATGGCCACTGATCAGTTGTCATTGAAGAATAGTCTTTGGTCTCTGGTTGTTAATAAATAATAATTTAATAATTTCAAATATATTAATAAAAGTTCCTAGAGGTCATCCAAGGTCACCCAGCACCTTTCTTTATTGTGAAAACATTGTGAAACATAAACCATGATATTTTTATCATGATCACAGTCTCAAAAGTAAAAAAAAAATAGGTTCACCGTAATAGTTAAAATAGACTATGCATTAACAAAATAAAAATTAATCAGAACAACATAGGGATGTTTTTTATTAGAAAAGGTAAATACGGGCTTTTGACCTTGAAACTTTCATTAATGTTCTTACAAAAGCATTACAAACTAACATTTTAGAAGCACAAACCAGCATAAATGTTTGCCATCAATTTTGTTTGATTTGAAGAAGGTGGGGTCAGCTGAGACTGAAGAAGTCACTTGGATGAGTGACAAAACATTTCTCCCACTGAAAGCGTTACGTCCACATGAACAGAATCAACGTTTGGGGATTTTTTTTACCTGGATGATTAAGAATGCATCAAGATTTTTATCACATTCTTAGCTCAGTGTTAAGCAATTTGCAAAATTTTATCCATGGTGAGAGATCTTACTGCAAGTTCATAAACAGGTGTATTTGATATAAAAAATTTGTAGAGTTCTAAAGTCGTATTTTTAATTCTCACAGTTTCGATTACCTTGTGAGATAGTGATCAAACTGTACATGTGCTACTAAGTGTGAGCAAGTACTCAGCAGCAAATGTACTGGAAAATCGAAATAAGACTTTCAGGTGTTTATTGCTGCGCTATTAAAAAATCTGGCTAGATGATAAACATTTGCTTATAGGTAGTATTGAATGGATCACTGCAAAAACTTCCCTATGAGGTGATGTGAGTCCATCTTAAATGTGGTGAATCTTGTCATAAAATGACTGTGCAGGATAGACGTGTGATTGGTAGTGCCTTCTTTCAACCCAGGATGGAATAATTACCATGTCATTTCCAAACATTGGAGTGCTAGAGATAAATAATGTTCTGCAGTCTCGCTCTGTCCCTCCCTCTCTCTGATATGTGAAAACAAACAATGATTAGCCTGTCAGATTCAGGTCGTGATTATCCTGATCAGTTTCTAAAACGACCCGTTTCATGCCTCTCTGATTTGGATGTTGGCTCTTCTTTTCACACCAAGGAGTGAAAAGGTTGTTATCCCCAAAAACCATGGAAAGAAAAGAAAGATAGAGGTAGGGGAATGTGGATGATGGACTAGGGCCTCAGTGGTGCTGACACAAGCCAGAGGGAAAAGACTGAGAAAGGGGGCAAAAAATGTATATTAAAAGAACAGAGGTCATTGCTTTTGTGTACCCTTTCCTCCTTTTAGGTGTGATGAACGTTCAGAAGATAAGAAAGGCAACATCTCCCATCATTAAACAGACATAGTAATTTGTTTTAATTCACTGTTTTTGTTTGTTGCAGTGTTAATGGAAACCTTCAATTGCAAAACTCTGATAGAAACTGACAGTAAAAACAAACAGCATTTTGCAAGGGATGCACAATGTCTTAAAACAATCCCTTTCATTACAAAAGCCAGTAGTTCAACACCAGATGTACATTTTTTGTTATTGTCACTAAATAACAAAAAAGCATACCCATGTTAAGTACAGTCTGCCAATTGGTACAAATCTCTTTTCAAATTGAGAGATATGAAAGAGAGAAATTACCAGCTTTAATTCTTCCTGTCATTTTGTGAGAGGTTACAGATTGTTGCATAAAATTCTCATGCTCACAATGAAATATGGTAAAGGAGGTCTGCTGATTGTTTGCTGCCTGTGACACTCTGCCTGCACTGATGTTTGTCCATATTGAAACATATGATTTTCAGGTTTTCTCATATATTCTGTCTTTTCTGTTAATGCAAGTTATATATCAGGTGATAAGAACTGTTGTGGCCTATTTGCTGAGACCTTTAATCAGTCTCAGTTATTGCAGTTGGCTTGCATACTCTACAGTAAAGTCTAAAATTATTAAATCTTCTGACCAACATCTCACAATCTGACTCCTATACTGTACATTTTGGTTTAAGAGTATCAATGATTTTGTATTTTACTCGTGTCAAAAGACAACACATTTACTCTAAAGGTCTTCATGAGTCTACCCATGTCAGTAGATCTGTATAGGACTGGATAATGGACAAAATACTAAAGATGGGTCTTAGCCTATAAGTCTAAATCGTGAAGTGGCAGCAAAAGTACCTTAAATCTGCTTTCATTCTAATAGGCTAAGAATAATTGCTTAATTTATAAAGTCCAAATCAACAGAAGTCTGAAAGTCTTTACTGCAAAATGTTTGCTAATTCAACCCTTTTCTTATAAGTTTATGGTCTCAGTTCCTACTTTCAATACAGCTTCAGTCTAATATGATCTTCACTTTGTGCATTATAGTTTAATTTACAGATAATGATGAAACAATGTATGCTTCTAGTTACTATTGTATGGTAGTGAATAATTTCCTCAGGTAGTCAATGAAAAAGGAACTCTTAAGACTGCAAATGAGCAATTATGTCACAGTGGCATAAATGCTCATTTGCAGTTATGCCACGTTTTACATATAGTCTTTATTTCTGACCTATTTTTTCTGACCTTTTTTTAACCCAGGTGTTATTTCTATATTATTTCTGGGTCAATATTAAAAAAAATAGGCAAATCCACTTTAATTCACTGTGGTACATTTTTGCACAGACAGACATTTTTGTACCCATGAAGACCTCTAGTTTACTCTGAAGTTAATGAGAAGACAATACTTAAAAATCAGGGTCTTTGTTTGGTGATTTGAAAAACAGGAAGTTTATGAAATATAGTCTTTGGGTCATTTGTGTCTAAATACATGCAGAAAGAGTTTATTTTGTGTTAATCTACTCAAAACGACTGTTCTGTAACCCTCCAGTGCTGGTTTAGAACATAAACAGGAACAATTTCTAGAGCATGTATACATGGTATGATATTAAACAAATATCAATAGCATTAATAGGTCTGCATTATTTAAGTCAGATGTCCACTCCATACAAATGTAGCTAACATTCCCTCCATCTGTAAATATTAAAGTCTAACATAATTATAATAATCTTGACAACATTTTTGTATACAACCAGTACCAGTAAAGAACAAAAAATGACAAAGAGATGAAAGTAAGGGGTTTGTCCCAAATAATTACAAGTTCATATTTCCCGTTCTTAAAAATATTTAAAACTACACATAATTGAAAAAATATAATTAAAAAGATTAGCATAGCACAAGTGCAAATATATCACTATAATGGTGGAAACAAAAATACTACAATTCTGCTTTCAACAACCAGACGAAAGGATAATTATTATACATTAAAATATGATAATACCAGGTTTTCAGCCTCAGGGCAACCTTGTGTTTGACTCTTTCAGTTTAATTTTGAGGTATTTAGAATTCACTTCTTATATTTGCTGTAAATTTGCTGTTTCCTGGAATAGACATGAATATTCAGTGTGGTTAAATTCAAGACAAATCCATTTGATTAAGAGACACTTTTTAAAAATAAGAGACACCATTTTAAAAATCTTTTTTTTAGAATCACAGGTAAAAAGAGAAAATCCAGAATAATATGATTCAAAGAGAAAAATATCCAACAAAATTCAATTAAAAGGTGAAACATTTGTTACATCCTTGAAATCTTAAAAAAAAAGACCCTCAATGACATACTTGTTTAGCGGGTCAACATCAATGCAGTGCAGATTAAATCATGCACTTAATGTGCATCAGTTTATGGTTTCAGTTGGAAAAAACAAAAACGCACACACACACACTCCCACGCACACACATACACACACACGCACACACACACACACACACTCACACGCATACACACACACACACGCAGGTACACACACACACAAAACACTGGAGTTCAACTCAATTTATCTTCAAAATCTAAGCAGGAAGGACAGAATTATAATGAAGAGGAGACAGTTGTGTGAGTGCACACTCATTGCACCGCCGCTGCCATCCTGAACTGCTCTCGGTCCTAACAGGAGATAGAATGAGGAAAAACATCTGGGTAAGTTTCACCACTAAGGAGTTTTCTTCTTTTGGTGTGTCAGTACTTGAAGTAAGTAAAACCTCCCATCTGTGAACAATTCAGAATTACAAACATATTTGTGTTTTTTTTAAACAACAACTTAAAGAGTAATAAGACCTGTAACAATTATTATGGTTTGTATGTCATCTTAATAAGATGGCATGAAGACAGAATTTAAAGGTCACAGTACTGCAATTTTGATGCAGAAGTTTTTGCTACAATATATTAGAGTTCAATTTTAGGGACACCTGGTTGTGTCTTTGATGGTATGTTCCCCTGGGTTATCTTGCAAACAGTTTTGCATTCATAACAAGAAACAAAATGTCAATGGTTAATATATCAGCAAAAATTCAGTACACATTCAGTTGACGGAAATTGAGAATGTGCTTTGTTGTTTGACAATGCACACCCACAGACTGTATGGCAACAATTATGTTTTAATACTGATAAAGTTAACAATGACTTAAACCAAGAGCCTGAAAAAGTGACTAACTGTATTATCTATACCTTCTTTTGTTTCGCCACAAAACATAAGATTTTTTAAGGTTTAGAGTTAGGAAAAAGAAATGCAGGATATTTGCATAGCGAGAATCTGGGAACACAGTAATTAACACTGTAACTGCCAGGAGGAGTGATTTTGACCCCTCAGTTGATTGTTTACATTTTAAAATTGATCTCAACGCAGGCTACACAAAAGGGGAGAAAAAAGCATTTTAAATTATTATTGTAAAAGTAGTAATGTCCAAGTTGATCATCGCGTCCATTTTTACATCTGCCTCAAAATCACCAAAGTGCAGCCTCCCATTCAGTGTTCACACTGCTCCCCAATTCTCAATCTGCAGCTTCACCTCCCCAGCTGTCCGGGTCAGGTCTAAAACCTGGTTTACTGATGTGCTCTGGATTTCACTATTCATTTGTTTGGATTAGTTCTCCACAGTCTAGACTCTGTTCACGTTAGGTATGAATTCCTATGCTGCTCAGAAGAGAAAGCAACCTGTCACTTCTCCATGCTTTCGGTTACGCACTCCCCCTGCTTCTGCTCAAAATCCCATACTCAGCCTGTAGTAATCATTCTTTTTGTTTTTTTTAATCTAACTACAGTCACCTATATATTTATTTATCAGTCACATATAACTAGCTTTTGGCTGATGTTATAACAGTCAAAGGTGGGTTCTAGGTAAAAGTGGACATTTTGTTTTTCTTTTGATCTCAAACATTCCAAAATTCCAAATTTGATAAATAATCCCCTTTTTTTTTTAAAAAAAAGTCATGAAATTTGAGACGATCAGGTTTTATTTTAACCCTTTAAGACCTGCCATAGAACCAAGTCCGCCAGAGCTTACTTTATATTTTTACATGCTGCAGTGCCATTTTTGGGAGCATTTCAAGTATCTATACATCAATACAACTGTTATAGCCCATATTTTAATAATATGTATGCATTAAGTCCATAGTAACTGCATTAATTGAAAAAAAGTGCAATAAACTACAAAAAAATAGAAAATCGTTTTTGTTTTTTTTTTTACATATATTTCTACTTTAAATTTAAGAGGCTTATCCCTGAAAACTTTAAATACAAAAAAGTTGCAAAAAATAGTTTACAACAACAGGAAATTTATTTTGAGTGTCTTCATAGTTTTATTTTATGTTTTTGTTCCTGCAAGCGCTTTTTATACAATTTTCAGGTCAGGTTTCATATGCAAAAAAAATTATTGCGCTAGCTTACGCGGTTCCGGTTCTACAGGGATTTAAAAATAGTTACGCAAAACAGAACGTGCCCGCTCCGACCGGCCTTAAAGGGTTAATAGAGTTACAGGATTTTGAAAATGCCAGAGGGTCAAAATGTCCATCTTGCTGGTGTTAAAACGTCGTGCTGGCTGAAGTTTTAAGTTAAAGCAAGTGATATATGCCATGGATCCTACTTTAAAGTACCTCAGGTTTCTATTACAGTTTGTTTTTTTGTTAAACTGTGTTTGTAATTTGTTTTTGAACATCACTTACGATGCATTCTTTTCCTGTATTTGTTGTAAGTAGCAACTGTAAATTAATCATCATCATTCATCTTTGGATCTGATTTATTTAGCACATAATAGTGAATAGTGTTATGAAGTTTGGATGATAGTGAAAGATGAACAAAGAGAAGCAGAGTAAGGAAGTAATCTCAGTGAGGAAGTAACAACACTGTCAAAAAACTATATTTAAAGGAAAACTCTTCAAGATGACATGAACTGCTCAAAGGTTTAGTAGGATAAAAATGAACCGTGCTCAGCAAGGTTGTTTTTTCAAGGACATTCTTAGGATTGAGAAGTGATTTAAAACACTTATTCAAATTGAAATGCAGTATTCCAGCACTGATATTTTTAACACATTGCTAAAATTACCAAAGTATTGCATGATGCATTCTATGAATAAAAGCATGTAATATTTTCATCATGCCCTTTTTGGGGATGAGGCAAGTTCTAAATGAGTGTATTATAAAAGGATTTTGGATCATTTTTACATTGAAATTGGTAAAACAATGACTACTCATTTCCCTTGGCTTTCCACAAGTTTCCTTTGGGGGCATGTATCCAATTATCCTTCCACAGTGGATTATTCCTAATCCTCTCTACTGATAATTAGAATAATGAAAATCACTCATAGTCATAGTCCAAATCAAAGTCATTAATACAATTCTGTTATGTGAATGGACTGCTGGTTGCAGTCACAAGGACAAATCAAATGGCAAAGTAGGTGTGGTGTTTATCTCTGCAGTTTCACACGTTAAAGTGCTGGACCTCAAAATGTGCACAGATTCACACAAGAAATTTGCAATTTTGTTTGGTTTTCTTCTGTAGCATGTACAGTTGAAATGCAGCAAATATTGGTACAATGGATCACAGAAGAACAAACAAACATGATAAATACTTACATTAGGAAAAGCACATGCAAAGAATCAAAATGAAGCCGATGTCACATAGAGAGGCAGTTAGGTTTGAGAAGAAAAAGATGAAACACAGTTAATGAAACAGACTTCATTGACCATTTTCACAGATTTGCATATGTCACTTTCCTTTGCTGCTCACCGTCCTCAGAGATCCTGCATACCACACAAGAACTCTAACATGTCAATTCAATAAAACCACAGAGGGTTAAAGTGCAATTTTGACTGGTTCAAAAAGCCAAGACAAATGATTTCACTTTTTTTCAAATGTAGCAGAGACTCATCGTCTCTGAAATTCTAATGCAGCCTAACTTACAATTGTGAAAATGGCAATGTTCCACAGGCTCCAGCATGCAATTAATACTATTGATCCTCGACAGCTGACGTTCATGCTGGTGTTGAATACTAACCTTGCAAAAGTGTTGAGCTAGTGGGTTCAATTACCACTACACCAGGGAAACAAATTGAACAGAGCAACGTGTCAGAAACAGAAAAGCAACATAATGATATCAGTTTCAGGTAGTTCAACTGACAAAACAGCAGCAACGCATAAAAGCAACGGTGGGGCCCTAAAGGCAAAATGCTTTGTCTTAAGTACCACAAATAAAGTAATTTTATCAAAATTTTAAGAACAGCAAACATCTGTGCACTCTCCAAATAAAGACCCTTTAACAATGCAATATGTAACAAGGACCTTCCATCAGATGTGTAAGGGGTTTTTTTTATTATTATTTGAATGGCCGTCTGTCATATAAATAATTTTTAAGGCTTTATTCAGACATGGCAGTATGATTTCAGAAAGAATTTTAATGCTTACATGAGAACAGTGTATTTAAAGCTCACACAGGCTTGACACAGGCTTAACTGATTTCCAAGAGTTCTATAGACTTATATGTATAGCACAGGTATTTATTACCACGCAATTCGCACTACAACCTGGTTTGCCTCTTACCTGTAGTTATTTTTATTTAATTTAATAACTGTACAGTACTCTCTGTATATAGTAACCACTGTCCTTAATGTAAATATGTAAGAAAAATTGTGTATGTTTCTGTTCCGTGTCCAGTGTACTGTTTGTTTGTATATGTGTCTTTTTGGCTGCTGTTACAACCAAATTTCCCCTTGTGGGACAATTAAAGGATTATTCTATTCTATTCTAATTATTTTCCTTGTGTGTGAGCAGAGAACTCAGGAGCCACACACACAAATAAGCCATGATTGTGCACACGAGGGTGTATGCTCAGCAGTCCCCTTAATTTGCTGTATAATATTACACATATATTATCATGACAAAACAAACAAACAAAGCCTAACCTGGGATCTAACAAATTATACAAATTAGAACTTTAGCCAAAAAATAGACTTAAATATGCCAACAAAACGTTTATCAGTCTAGTCCCAGAAGTGGCTATTCACTCACTGACTATATTTTGGCCTTATTTTTGATGGAAGCCATATTAAATAAGCAGAGCAGATGAAGAGGACATGATGTCAGACACAGGAACAGCACAGTGAATCCAATACATTTTCAAAATAAGATGCAACTCTCCACTTCTCAAATTTTTCTGGTGAGATTTATAACTTCACAGAGGACAGAACAGTGGAGATAGTGAAGTTAAAGACATGCACCCAGGGTAGTACTTGGTTAATGAAACCGTCTTGGACTGTATTCGGTGACTTATTCTGCTTTGCAGCCTTGGTGAGCTCAATGTACAGTACATAAAAAATTCTCCACTGGCTGCAGGTTCTGGTTTGAGAGGCTCCACAGCAGCACAACAAGTACCATCTTGGGCTGTAGAGTGCAATTCTGGTCACTACATGTGACAGTGATTAAAGACCCAGCTTAGTGATAATGAGGACCACTGCAAGAGTGACCTGATTAGCAGCAACTATCCATCCATCCATCTTCTTCCGCTTTATCCGGGGCTGGGTCGCAGGGGCAGCAGCCTAAGCAGAGAAGCCCAGACCTCCCTCTCCCCAGCCACCTCCTCTAGCTTATCCGGGGGAACACCAAGGCATTCCCAGGCCAGCCGAGAGATATAATCTCTCCAGCATGTCCTGGGTCTGCCCCGGGGCCTCCTCCCGGTGGGACATACCTGGAACACCTCACCCAGGAGGCGCCCAGGAGGCATCCTTGTCAGATGCCCGAACCACCTCAGCTGGCTCCTTTCGATTTGGAGGAGCAGCGGCTCTACTCTGAGCCCCTCCCGGATGGCTGAACTTCTCACCTTATCTCTAAAGGAGAGGCCAGCCACCCTTCGGACGAAGCTCATTTGTTCTTTTGGTCAGTACCCACAGCTTGTGGCCATAGGTGAGGGTAAGGATGTAGATCGACCGGTAAATTGAGAGCTTCGTTTTTACACTCAGCTCTCTCTTCTCCACGACGGACCGGTGCAGCGTCCGCATCAGTAATCCGCCTGTCGATCTCCGGCTCCCTTCTCCCATCAATCGCGAACAAGACCCCAAGATACTTGAACTCCTCCACTTGGGGCAGGAACTAATCCCCGACCCGGAGTGGGCACTCCACCCTTTTCCGGCTGAGAACCATGGCCTCAGATTTGGATGTGCTAATCCTCATTCCAGTGCGAGCTGGAGGCCATCACCCGATGAAGCCAACAGAACCACATCATCTGCGAAAAGCAGAGATGAGATTCTGAGGCCACCTAAGTGAAAGCCCTCCGCCACTTGGCTGCGCCTAGAAATCCTGTCCATAAAAATTATGAACAGAATCGGTGACAAAGGCCAGCCCTGGCAGAGCCCATTACCCACCGGGAACGAATCCGACTTATTGCCGGCAATGTGAACCAAGCTCTTGCAATGGTTGTATAGGGATCGAATGGCCCGTAGCAATGGACTAGACACCCCATCCTCCCGTAGCACCTCTCACAGGACACCCCTAGGGACACGGTCGAATGCAGCAACTAAACATCAAAATAAAATGACTGCATACAACAACGTTTGTACAAATCTAACATATTACACAATCTTAGTTATAGTTCCTGTTGTCAAGTATCATAAATGTACTTACCAAACAGAAGGAAGCTTGTATTTGAACTCCCAAGTGTGTTGATGGCAACACAGGTGTAGTTGCCATAATCTCCATCAGACACATTAAAGAAGGTCAGCTTTGATCCTAATCCAGTACTGACAATCTCCATACCATCAAAGTCATTAAAGATCCTAAATGAGTGAAAAATATCAAATCATATCATTCATGTTTTCTTTTTGACTTTTTTTTCCCACACTTTTTAAAAAAAAAAATCAGTTTAGATAGTATTGGGACTATAAATTTCACAGCAAATCATTAACCATCAGTAACTTGTGTGCACACACACACACACACACACACACACACACACACACACACACAAAGGCACACGCACATATTCACATACCTTTAATTTGCCTATTTAAAATGCAAATGTAAGACCAATTACCTTCTGTTATCTTTGTACCATTCAAAATCTGCCTCAGGCACTGCATCAGCCTCACACTCCAGCACTCCTCTCTGGCCCAGTGTCACTCCAACATCTCTGCCCTCTGACACAGCTGGAGCATCTACAACCAGACAGAAACACACAGGGATGTTGTGTGTGGGAGTAAACGGCAGCACAAGCATTGATAAGCAGGAGACAGAGGTCATGGCATTTTCCTGTCTTGACTCTATGCCACAACTACAAGTGAACAGATAACATCATTCAAATTATACATAATACTTAGTACAGTGTTGAAACTGCATAGTGTTAGAGTATGATGTGAAGAAAATAACTGTTCAGGTTTTAATGATCAATTTCTTACCTCTGTATCATAGAGATATTATAATATAAATAATAGTTGTTAGCTGTATGTCCAAAATATAGGCAACTGTGCCCAAGTAGTCAGCTACTGCTCATGGGCCTTTCAAACTTGCTTTGATTTCAGGGCTCTCTGTGGTAACTAAAAATGATAACTACACACAGACAATATGAATAATAACTTGTACTGCAAAAATAAAGGAAAACAATGAAAATGCCACTTGTGATAATAAAGTATAATTCAATGCCACAAAATCAGTTTTTTGTCAAATAGGCCAAAAAGCAACATCAATCATTATTACTAAGTGCTAATGATTTATATAGCATTTGGTATTTAGGTTTGACAAATGAACCAATGATTAAGGTTGCAGATTAATTTCCTGAAAATCAGCTAATTTACCCACAATTAAACAGAAAAGGGTAAATTAACCATGCTACATGCATTAGACTATTATTAGATATAGGTTAATTTAATAACAAAGTAGTTCTAATTTGAACGTATCTTTCATTTAAAATAGCGCATACTTCCAGAACACATACCTCTAACCCTAACCCCAGTCAGCCAATCATGTAGTAGTAGTAATAATAAATAAAATCCTGTAGATAAAGGTCACAGGCTTCAACTTATAACCGAGTCAGAAATCATAATGTGATCATAAAAAAACTCCAACCAAATCAGTAGTTCTGGGTAGTTGTTCTGCAGATGGAAAAGCTTTTATGATTAGAGAAAGTTTTGAGGTGTGCAGACATGTAATTTATCATGACACGTGAAGTAACATTATACATTATGTAGCTGAAGCAAACTATGGCAACTATAGTATAGTAAACAAAAGTATATATACTGTCTCAGAGGAAATAAAACACATTCATGGGGAGCATATTGCTCATAATGTGCATAAATTGGGCAAACTGGGGCTAAAGATGGATGTTTACTGAACTTCTTCAGTGTGTTTACTGATGCTGTGCAAATCTGGCACTGTCCCTCTACATGATTTATATAATTATGTTATCACCAGCAAATCAATTATACGAGATCTGAAGCCCTACAAAAGTTTGGATGCTTATCAGTATTTTCTGGGCCAGATTGTCCGGTGGGCATTATGGGCATGCAATCTTAAACCACAAATTATCAAAAAGTAGATATGATATTTTTTATTATAAAAATTGGCCAAATACAGTAGTCTTTATTTAAATACAGTAGTCTAGATTCTATCTCTCCCTTTTTCATCTACATTGTGATCTCTCCCTAAGTCAACTAGCTAGTAGATGCCACTGCCATGCAAGCTAATCTTGTGGTTAGCAGCTCACAATTAAGGTAAATCTATGACCCAAAGGTTTGAATGGCTCTAAATGAAGAAGCCAGGCTTTCCTCATAACCCAAAAAGCAAGTTTACAGGAAATATTTCTGTTATTTCTTCAACATTCATCTGGGAGCAAGACTGTGGCAATGGCAAGAATTGTTGAAAGGAGGTAAAAGATGAGAAGATCATAAGGAAAACAGACAGACAGAGAGAGAGAATGAGGGAGTAAGATGATAACAGGTGTGCATGCAAAAACTTTAATTAAACAGTATTTTCATCCTTTTTAATTTAATGTAAGTTACTTTAGAGGATTTAGCTGTCACGACCTGCGGGATCGGCAAGGCACTGATCATAATCTCCCCACTCCTGGCTCTCCTTTTCTATCTCTCTCTCCCCCTCTCTCGCTCTCTCTCCTGTTTTGCCAGGGCTGAAATCATGGTGGGTTCACGCCCTCGGCCCATGCCTTCCTGGATTGGGAACACCTGGGCCTCATCAGACCAACTGGTATTTTAGAGGGAGGAGGTCAGCTGTTCAACACTGGATTGTTGTGAAGACTCTAGTCAGTACATGTCGAGCCCAAGTTTCCCGTGCCTCCGTCTCAGAAAGTTAACATGTGTCTCTGTGTTCTAGATTCCCCGGACCCGTCCCCATGTTTCCCTGTGTGGAGTGTGGAAGGAGTGACTGGTCACTAGCGGAGAGAGAGGTTGTAGTGAGCGCGTGTGTGATTCCCCTGTTTTCCCTGGAGCCCTGGAACCCTGCCTCTCACATCTTGTATATAGCACTATCCTCGCACTGTCTGTAAATACACTTGGTGAAGATCTTGTAAATAAACAGTCTCTTTTAAAACACAACTCCGGAGTCCTGCGAGTGGATCCTCAGAGCAACCCATGACATTAGTAAAGTTGTGTTGTGTTTATAACTTTTTTTCTCAAAGATACAGCCTTTGCATTTCAAACTATTCTGTGTACTATCAATATGTCTGATTATTGCAGAAAGAAATCTTATCCTCAAAACAAGTCGGCTAGGGCCCAGAAAACATTTCTGCCCAGGGGTCTGTAATTTTATGATCCAAGTATCTGGGTATGTGTCTGAGTATCTGGGTCAAGATGGGTAACAAGCAAAAAAGCTGAAATACTTTTTCAAGAAAAAAAATCAAAATATGGAGATTACAGTTGATGTTTCAAGAAGGCAAACTACCACGGATGCCGTATCGGAAACTTATTGTGTACTTTTTTTTATTGTGTCGCTAATACTCTGTCATACAGGTAAATTGTTAATGATATTCATATTTTTCTGTTTTTGCCTCTGTTACTGAAAATGTGTTTTAAGTGGATCTAATGAGCGTATCCTCACACTTAAAAAATAAATGTGATGTGACAATGTATTAAAACTTTTTATCAAAGAGAAAGTACTTAAAGAGATTTAAGATACTAGTTTCTAAAATTATCTGGGGTAATGTTAGCTTATAACATGTTGTTTGTCAGCTGTATGGAGACAGGAGGGTCACATGCCTGATACGCTCATGATAAACCAACTGGGAAAATGTCAAAAATAAATAAACAATTTCATATTCTTCAGTTTAGGAGTGAGGCTTCAGGTGAGGAGGAAGAAGATGAAATGGAGATGAGGAGGAGAGTAGAAATCGAGGAGGTGAGAGAGAAAAAACTAGAACGAGAAAAGGAAAATATAAATGTAAAAATGTTAAATGGTCAAATATAGTTTCAAACAAATACTGGTAATTTGAAAAATTCAAATAGATTATTACTGATACTACTATTTATCTAATGCTGCTGTATCGGATAAATCTTTTTTTTATCTTCTTCCATCCAAATCAGCAGGAAAGTGATACAAATTATTCTATATTAGTCCTTGATGACTGCTGGACCCAACAACACATCAGAATACAGGTATTGTGGTGAAAAAAGTAGAAGCGATGTGCACATGACATCACAAAACCAAACAAAACATTATCATAAAGAATCAATGTCACCAATAACTAAAATTGGACAGAAAAGGAATGTGCTGAAGAAACTGGATTGTAAGTTGCTAGAATGTCTGTCTGTCTCTATGAACACATAGAGACAGACAGACATTCTAGCCTTGCAACATATTTGTGAACTGTCTAGGGTGTACCCTGCCCCTTGATTTATGACAGCTCAACCCTGAATCAAAAATGGAAGAAGATGGATATATTAGATATTACAGAATATTGATCAATGTCAGTCTGATAGGTACTGAAATAGTGAAACAAAAATCCACACAGTTCACAAGAATAGACTGTATTTTTTCTATGATCACCCATCCAACATTGTCCCATTAAAAGTGGCACAATTTAGTACCGTTTGTGTGAATTTTTGAAACATTTAGCAGCCGACTCACAGTTGACGGTGATGTCTACAGTCTGCACGTCTGTGTCAATATCATTGACAGCTGTGCATTCATACGTTCCTGCTTTCTGTCTGGATATAGATGGGATTTCCAAGTATTCATCATCTGACACCAGATCCCCTGTGAAAGATCACACAGAGAGAGAGAGATTGAAGAGGGTCATTTGGAGATAATGTGACAAGTCAACAGCTGTGGCCATGTTCAGTATTTTCACCAACTGTGTGCCTGCCACCTTAAAAGGGAAGAAGGAATATATTGATTACAAGGGCTGATGGATCATTGCAGTTGTATACTATAACTATAATTCACCTAAGTCTACTGATTTGTGCTTCATTTAAATGCGATACACAGCAACAAAAATTGTAAAGAAAAAAAATCTATTTGTTTTGCTAAAAAAAGAGAAGCTCATTTCCAACTATTGGAGTGAATATGAGTGTGAATAGTTGTGAATAGTTGTCTGCAGCAAACTTGCAACCTTTCCAGGATGTATCCCACCTCTCCACCTTTCATTGCTAGCCCTGTGACCCTAAATTGGATATGTAGACAAAAATGAAAGGGTGGATTTTGGCAACAGCAGGAATGAAGACAGATCCTGATCGGGCATGACAGGCCAAATTCTAATACAATGTGCCAAAACCTGCACTTGTAAATATGGCAAGTCTGTCTTATTCTCATGTTTCTTGTAGCACTCTGTAGCACCAATTCTTGACCAAGACCAGTTCTTGATTTAACATTTTTCATAGGATGCTACAGAATTTGGTGATTAATGCTTTGTTTGGTGCCTACTCTTTATCACTCATCCGTCAGAATTTTCATGTTCTGTACTTTTGTGTGTGCCTCTCAAGAGTACAAGCACACTGGGACTACTACTGAGATGTGAGAATAAGAAGAGGGCAAAATCCCAGCCACACTTTTTTTCATTGTATCAATTTGACATGCTTGACAGAGACACTTAATACAGCACTCAACATAAAGAACAAAAGATATAATTGACTTCAAGCTTCCTCCCAAGATGCTGGAAGGCGACAGTAATAAACTGTGCATGGATTCACTTTGCTGGGTTTGGGGACATTATTGAATTGCACCTGGGAAAGCTGTTAAGGATAGAATGCCTCACTGACACACAGTGACACACTCACCTGATGTGGAGTATCAAGAGAGCTCACATAGGTGTACGGGTTCCACTCCGTTCCATTTATGCTCCTCTTGTTCCCTTTCTGCTTTCTCTCAAAAGAGGATAATAGAATTTGCCAATAGAGACTACAGTGTCAGTTAAAGCCACTTTGCAAATTCCACTGAGGTGAGTTAATCAAGATGATCAAGTGAAGACTTTTCAGGGAGCTTTTTGAGTGCCCTGACAAAAATGAATTACAATTGTCCATGCTGGAAGTTATAAATGCATTTACCAGTTTTTGCACACTATTGCTAAAAAAAAGACAAATATTTTGTCTTAGAGTGATGCTGAAATTGAATGATGCAATATGTCTGTAGTCAGGCATATTTGTTTAATGTGCATGCTAAAGGACATATTTGACCAGAAATTATTCCAAGATTCATCAGTGTTACTGGATGCCAAAGTAATGCCCTCTAAACTACATATCTGGTTAGACACCATGTTTCATGTTCAATGTCCAGGATGTTTGGACTGGATATGTTTTGCCTGAATTAAGGACTAGGAAATTTAAGATGGGTATCATCTGGATTTCAAAGAAAAGGTATGCAGTGTTTTCTAATAACATTATGCTGTGGAAGCATGTATAATATAAATAGAATTGGTTCCAGCACAGAACTCTGTAGAACTCGATTACTGACTTTTCTGCATGAAGAAGACACAAACTGGAATCTATCAGACAGATATGATTCAAATCACACTGTAGTAAGATATTGGTCATCAGTTTTGAATGCTGCACTAAGAACAAACACGGGGATGAGCACACTGTTCAACACCATAAGATGAGTGAAACTTGAGTGAAACTTAAAATAAACTAATAACTACTTGTTCAACATTTTTTGAAATAAAACAAAGGTCAGAAATCACTATAGTTATCTAATACAGATCAAGTAAGGTCTTTTCAAGTAATGGCTTAATTACTCCCCTCTTAAGAGACTCTAGTGTGTCTTCTGTTAATAACGATAGATGGATCAGATTTAAAATTGAAGCACTAATGAATGGTGAGACTTATTTCAACAGTCTGATTGAAATAGGGTCAAGGAGGCACACTGATCTTTTAGAAAAATAAATTATTGAAGTTAACTCAGAAAGATTAATAGGAGAGAAAGAGTCTAAGTAAATATCAGCTGTTAAAAAGTTGCTATACTTAATGATACATCTGTGAGGGAGTTGTGAGTAATTTTCCCCTAATGGGTAAATTTAGTTTGTGAGAAAATTTCTTGGCTCAGCAGAGCTCCAACTATTTATCAGCCTGGCTGAAGTGCTGAAAAGAAACCTGGGGTGTTCCTGTTTTTCTCAGAGGGGTTATTTATATTATATATTTATATATTTGTGAGTCCAAATGAAGATTTTCTAAATTAGTGCAATGCCATTGCCTCTACTCCATCTGTTTTGTGCACATTTGTGAGTTATACCAGGGAGTCAAACATCTCTGATTTCTTGCTTTCTTTTTAAGGGAAGACAGCATCTACAGTCATACCCAAAGAGGATCTAACACGATTAAGAAACTATTCCACCTTGGTGAGAGCAAAGATTTCAGTAGCTGCTTGGTACTGTGTTGGCACATGGATTGTAATGTGCTGTCTTCCTCGCTTCACACCCAAATGGTTGCAGCAGATAGCCTCTCCCTAAGCATCATTCTGATGGAGGTTTCTCCCTGTTAAAAGGTCATCTGATTGTTGGGTTTCCTGTTTTCTCTGTATTATTGTAGGTTCTTTACCTTGCAATGTAAAGCACCTTGAGGTAACTGTTATGATTTGGTGCTTTATAAATAAAAATTGAATTTAACTTAAAGAAAAGATAACAGTGAAGGAATTACCTCCTTAAATATAGTTAAAGTGTGTTCAGGATAGGGCTGCCACGATTAGTCGACTAGTCCCGATTACGTCGACTATCAAAATCGTCGACGACTGATTTAATAGTCGACGCGTCGTTTGAAGCTTTGTAAGATCACAAAAGATGCAGGAATAAGTAGCAGGATTTAAGAGTGTAATAACGGACTGAAACAGAAGATGGCAGCACTGCATGTTCAAGGATGCCAGCTGCCGTTAAACCCCGAAGAAGAAGAAACTGTATCCCAGAATTCATAGCGCAGCCCAGCTCAGTTTCCAACAATGGCGGCAGCTAGTTAGTTTTATATTACTCTTATTATTCTTTCTGGGTCACAAAATAAACTTTTAACATATTTTCAGGCGAGAATGTAGCTGTGTAAACCTCAAATACCTGCTCAGTTTATCAAGACACCACATATTTTCAAAAGCGCTCCGACATTTTCGGAGACGTCTGTTACCCACTAGCTCCATTGCTAGCCGGGAGAACACCGGACTCCCGGCAAATCGTTTTCAAACCCACCGCCGTCTTTCGCTACTCAGGTTAAACATGATATATAAGTCACTTAGATAACTTAACAATGTTATTGTTTGGCTTTTTTTAGTATTTTATTTGTTCCTGAGTAAATCGGTTTGGCTGAGATTAAAGTTATAGTTTTTACACAGCTGAATAAACGTCAAGCAGACAGCTGATTATCAGAAGTGTGAGATGCTCCAGAATTTACTCCGGTGTCCCGTTATATTTTAGATAGCAAGGAGTTTATTAAACTTCACCGAAACAATCTGCAAATTTCATTAAAATTTAATAAACTATCATCTTGTCTTTATTTTTAGTTAGCACAGACCTTACACACTTAAAGCTGTAAGCTAATGATAGTTATATAAGAGCAGATGCTGCTGGTGCAATAAGCTGTACGTTTTACGTCCAATGGATGATGATCTGATTAGTCGACTAATCGCAAAAATAATCAGTGACTAGTCGACTATCAAAATAATCGTTTGTGGCAGCCCTAGTTCAGAAGGACTTCTATTGTAATGAAATTTATTGTCCAGTGTCTAACCAATTATCATAAAGTGTTAAGAATGAAACCAATTAAGTCTAATAAAAATTTAAATGCGGTAATATAAGCTGTCATTTTTTATCATCTACGTAGATGCTAAATGAAGATGTGTTTGGTTCTAGACCAAACCACCAGGCTGTGGTTTAACCGGTGAACAGGCTAATTTGGCTGTAGGCGTGAACGTGAGTATAAATGGTTGTCTGTCTCTATGCTAGTTCTGTCAAACTGGTGACCTTTCCAGGGTGTATTCCATCTCTCACCCTATGCCACCTGAAATATGCTCCAGCTCCAACAAATCATAAAGGGTCTTTACTTCTTGCACTTCTTACAGTATATCCTTTCATCAAATCCTAAGCACGTGACAAACACAACAATTTCAGCTGCTCATAGTAGTGTTTAAATATTAAAGTGGATAAGTTTTTTCTTTCAGTTTCACAAAGGTCAAAAACTATGACTACTCTCCTTTAATTTTAAATTATTCTTTCTGAGCAAACCAGTGCTGTGCAAATCTGGGAAACCTTTATTGCACCTTGGTTAAATTCATTAATTTTCCCCTTCATTCTGGGTACTGCCTAGGCAGACAAATTTAGCAGTCAGATTGTGTGGTCTGTGGAAGATAGCAAGGATCACTTCTGATCTGCCACAAGCCCCTAAAGCCATCTATCAAAGGTGAGGGGGAGCTGGGTTATGGCTCGAAGAGAGCCTTGGTCCAAGTCTGAAATCATCAATCTTTACGCACTCACACACAGACAAACACACACACACACACACACACACACACACACACACACAGATAGATACAGGGAGAGAGAATCTTTATATATTCACTCATTTATACCCCAGAGTGCTTGCCATAGATGGCCTCACACTGAAAGGCCCAAGGCTGGAGAAAAGTTTCATTGCAGGTGGGAGATACTGGAACAGTATCAGTTTGGACCGCATAGTCCAAACTGCATAGACTGGGACATTTTGTTCTCTACTCAAAGCCTCTTTTAGTCCGAGCAACTGTGCACTGCGACTCTATCAATTCTTAATCGTAAACACCCTTATCAGTCAAATACTGGAACCAAAATGGATATCAAAATGGTATATAAAAAATACCAACTAGAATCCACAAAATTTAGTTCGATCAATTTCAGAGAAAACTACGTGAAACTAGATGGATTTTCTTTTATCTTACTTGAAAAAAATCAAAATAACAGCTTCTCAAGCTGATGCTTGTTTATTTATATTTTCCTCCGATACAAATTCCATACATTCATTCAGTCCACTCTCACTAAATTCTAGTTTTATTAATTCATGCAAAGAGGATCTTCATTTTGCATTTCAATGGACCTTCTCAGAAACTGATTTTGAATAGACAAATAAATATAAGCAACCAGTCATTGCATCCATTTTTATGATAAAGAGTGCTGAGATAAGAACAGAATAAAGAATGCTTTTGAATGGGGCTGTCTCTGAAAAATTCTTTGTTTTACATACAGATTCTCAGTCAAAGCAGTGTTTTACAAAGAGATAGCAGACATAGTGAAGGTTTAGCCACAAAACACACACAGTCTTTTCAACAGATATCAGAGTTGTTATCTGAGCTGTGTCTATAAAAAAATATATCTTTCCATGATTGGAAAACTTGATGTGAAGACAAAAACAAAATAAGAAAAAAGAAACCTGGCATAAACCAAATATGTGACGAATGCATGGTCCACACCACAAAGTATTAAGTCACCAATATAAATAATCTATAACCAATATAAACAATCTATACTATTTGTAAATGTATGTATGTGTACTTTTCTGGATGTCCTTACCTCATGGCCACTGGATTCCCTCCCCCTGCTAATCATTGGACAGGCAACATCTGACTCACCCACACTACCAAGTAAGCCATTGGTTCTCGCTAGTTATCTTTTGGAACTCCCCTATCTGGAATCACTGGATCAATGTCCCTTTCCTCTTCCATAGTGTCACTTCCTCCTTTGGATCCATTACTCTGTCTTTGTCGCCCTTGTGAATTCTACTTGTTGCAAAACATTATTGTAAATAAATCTTTTGAATTCTGTTGCATTTGAGTACTCTATTTTGCTTCGACCAGACCATGACAGCAAAAACATGGTCTGTATATGAAAGATGCAATGTTACTTCTTCCACTGGCTTGTCAGGTCCTGTCTTTAAACTTTATGTTTTGTCCAGCACAAAAACCAACTGCTCTATATTATCTTATTTTACTCTTTATTTGCTCTTACTTCAATTTAGACTCTTTATTTAAAACACTTTAATTATGCTGTACTCCATATGTCCTGAAATTAGCAAACAAGTCCATAAATTCAGTAAAGATGTTTTAATGAGGTCATAGATTAAGTCTCATAGACTTCTAAATAATCACAGAGGAGCTGTTCTCTGCTGACCATTAGTTTAATGCACTTTTGGCTCCCCACACCCTCTAGCAGATCATTACATGAAGGAACCTTTAAAAAAAAACAAAACAAGCGCGTCCATGCTCACAGGTGTACACACGGGTGATCACACCCACAAACTACACCCTTTTTGGCTCCTACCTCAAAGCACACTGTGTTCTGTTGATCTTATGTGCTGCAAGTTTAATGCACTTTTCCATTAACTCAAACACTACATCCATGTGTTCTAAAAAATCAGTATTAAGAAAATAAAGTAAAACACACAAAAAATGACATCATTAAGAAAAAAAAAAACACCAATATATCAAAAATCTGCTCTGCATCTAGATTTTTTAATGTATAAACAAATTACCTGAAGAGGAGATGAGCTTCCAGCTGATGGAAGGCTCTGGTTTACCACTTGCTTGGCACATCAGGGTGATGTTAGAGCCTTCATTTACCACAACATCTCTTGACAGGTTGGTGATTTTTGGTGGCACTGTGAAGGAAAATCAAATATATAAACTCAAGCTGTGATGTTACTAATCTCAAGAGGCACTTCTGAAAAAGGATATCACTATGACATATGTCATTGTCATTATTATTATTTTGCATAATAATATTTGACATATTTCAGTTTGAAGTTTGACACTAAAAAAGGGCCTGTATATTAGAATGGAATCTGTCGCTTGCCAAAGACATGGATTTAGACAGGAAAAATCTTGCAAAGAGACACAATGAAGCTGCATTATAGGTACTGTATGATGCAGAACTGTGTTAGACAAAAAAACAAAAAAAAAATTAAATCTTAAGCTCTGATCCATCAATTTTAGTTCATTCTTTTGCTCTCTTTGTTTTTGCTCTAGGGTTTTTCCAAGCACCTAAACGTAACACAAGTGAATATGGATTGTCAGATTAATCAGCCATGAAAAAAATAATGATTGACAATTTAAAATGTTCATTATTGTTTCCCAAAGGACTTTGAATGTTATCAGCCAATTAAATTGACATTTTTAGTTTTAAGAACTCCCATAGATATCACCAGCAGGTGCTCACCTATTACCAGTGTAGGGACTAACGCGTTGTTAAGTAACGCGTTACAGTAACTACGTTATTATTGTGGTCACGAGCACGGTAACTAGTTATTATGCCAAAATCAGGAACAATCGTTACTGGGATTTAGATAGGGTCGTTATTCGTTACTTCATGTGGTGGCTATCGTGGAGCTTACACAGTTTCCATAACATTAGCAAGTGGTGGATGCCAGCAGGTGGATGAGGGAAAGGGGGGGCAGGAGGGGGAGAGACCTGAGGCGGCCACCGGTGTCAGGTGAACTGAACTTCAGGTAAGAAGTTATGACCTGCAGTCCATCTGGGTCAGATATAAACCAAGTTTAGGTATAGTTTATTTTCGTTATGCTGACTTTTTTGTACTGGGTATTAGCTAGCATGACGAAGTTTCTATACAGCTGAGTGGGTGCTATGATGTTACTGATGTTGAACTTTATTTTGTTCATAAGGTTAATTATTAGAGTTGCCAACCGTCTCCTAAAAAACGGAATCGTCTCGTATTCAGAGAACATATTACACGTTTCGTATTGAGGTGAAAAGGAGCACAGTCGTCCCGTACTTCAGATACAATGAAAAAGAAGACAGAAAACTGGAGTTATTCTGTCTTTATGCTGCGCAGCTGCCTCTTCTTCTCTCATTCTCTCCCCCTCCCTCTCCTATTGCTACTTCAATCATGAAACTGATTAATGATCAGCTGATCGGCCTTTCTGTCACAAGTCCCGTCTATCTTGTTTGCTTATCGCCCACTTTGCACCAGAAAGAAAGAAACCGGAGGTCGCGTTAAACAACAGCAGCACGTTTAAGCTTGATCAGCTGTTGTTAGAATTTATTTAATATTACCTTCTAGTATCAGCTGATGGTTGCTGGAGCCACAGCCGTAAAAGCTGCTGGACATGATATCGGTTTGGATATGTGGTGAGAGGGAAACATGAAGATGAAACCAGGAGATGTCCTTACTGAATCATCAAAGCTGAACAGGTGATGGAGAAACAGGTTTACCTTTAGGTGACATGAATGATTTAAAGTTATGAACTGTTTCTGAGAGACAAATACCACCAGGATCCTTTTTTTTTTACAGCTGACAGCTGGTAACTGTGCAGGGGCGTGTCTAGCAAAGTTTTGCCAGGGGGGCCAGGTAGGGCGTTAACAGAGAAAGGGGGGGGGGGGGGGGGGGGCACAAAGAAGTACTTTTCTTTCTTATTCTCATTTAAAATATCTAGTTTTTAAAAAAATAATTATCTGAATCTTACAACAAACAATTGATAGATTGATGCATATATACCATCAAAACAGTGTACATCATTCTCACAACATCGTTTGTTTCCATTCAAAGGCTTTATGATTTTTCCTATAATGGCGGGCCGGTTGTAATATTCTGTTCTTAAACTTATAAGGAACATATTCTCAAACTGCTTCGTGAGCCACCATCTTCTTTATTGCCACTTGTTCGGTACAACCTAACACACCTCCACTTCCGTAATCATACCCGCCCCACTGCCACTACGGCAAACCCCAAGGGACAATACTCACGGAGTGCAAACATTATAAACAATACAACATCTGCCTTTTTTTGTTTTGTTTTGTTGTTAAATGTCCGCCAGTGGCACAGCCGGTATGCATTTCAAAATAGAACATCCTGAACATGAAGATTAGAAACAGTTTTTTCCACACTGTCATGTGTAAAATTACTGCTGCAAGAGAACAACAACAATAATGCAACACAGGATATGTACTCATTAGTACACACTGACATTTGACATGTTTTTTTTTTTTTTGTTTTGTTTTTTTGCTTTAGGGGAGCGATTCGCCTACACCCTTTACAATCCCAGGTCAAGGATGACCCTCGGTTTGACCACTCGTCCTGATCTGGTGGTCAGTATAAGGCTAGTGTCCATGGGTGGTGTTTTAGTGCCTCTAGATGGCGACTGAGGCTCCGCTTGTTGTTGAGCTGCACTTTCATGCTGGGTTACCAAATCGGGTGCTGGTGACGCCTTAGCGCCTCTCAGGTGCCGTCGGTTACGCCGTATAGTCTGCCCCTCGCCAGCGCGGATCACGAAAGAGCGGGCAGTCTCTGCAGGTCGGATGATGACAGCCGATTTCCAGCTTCCGGACTCATGCTGAAAGCGGATGTGATTCCCCTGCTGCAGCCTCGGTAGTGGTGCGGTGCTGCGATTGTAGTATCGCTTCTGGTGCTCTTGTCTTTCCATCCGTGTCTTTTGCTCCACCGTCAGGCTTATGACGCGGGGTACCAGCTGGTATCCGGTGATGAGAAGCACTGAGCGCAGACGTAGAGTCATGAGGAGCTGCGTGGGTGATCTGAAGCCATCGACTGGTGTGTTCCTTTGCTCCAATAGAGACAGGTAGGGATCTACTCCCTGAGCATGAGCTGTATCCAGAACTGATTTGGCAGCTTTGACTGTTCTTTCGGCAAGGGCGTTGCTTTGTGGGTACAAAGGGCTTGAGCTTGTGTGGACAAAGTCCCATGTGACTGCAAAGTCCTTGAACTCTCGAGAGCTGTCCTATGGGCCGTTATCTGAAATAAGCTTCTCTGACTGGTGAATATGGCCTTGAGCTTTTTGATGACGGACCCTGCGGTGGTAGAAAATAGCCTTTCGACCTCAAAGTAGCAGCTATAATAGTCCACATAAGTAGTCTTGTCCACACCATATGAAGAGGTCTGAGGCCACGGCCTGCCATGGTCTCTCAGGAATCTGGTGTGGAATGAGAGGTTCTTTAGGGTTCACTGCACGCCTCTGTTACGCCCCCAGTCTAGGCGGGTAGGGACGCACATAAGGTTGGAGGAGAGAGAGACAAATCCCCGCCCTGGTTCCCAAGCCAAACATCCAAACCAGTTGTGAGTAAAAAGGTGTTTTTATTTAAGGAAAAGAAGCATAGCTCCAGGGTGAGCCCAGGCCAAAATAATAAACAAAACCAACTAAGTCCCACCAGAGAAAACTAACTAAACCCTAGGAAAGAAAAACAGAACAAACAAATGACAGAGCTATCCCTCGCTCCCTACCCGGAAAACAGGAGAAAACGATTCCAAAAGAAAAGGCAGCTCACCCCTTCCACTTCAACCCAAGAGTGCCTAAGCGCTCAACTAATTCACTAGGAGCGGCTTTCACAATTTCACACTCTCACAAATACACAAGATAAGCACGGGCTGGGAACACCAGGGTCAGGGCCGCGACGGCTGTCCGGCTACTCGCTCGTTCCACTCTCTCTCTCTCCCTCTCGGAGCTGTCAGAGTGGCCTTTTGAAGGTAGTCAACCGCTCCATGGTCCAATCAGTCGCTCACGACTCCTCATTAGGGGAGGGACCTGGAAAAGTCTTAAGCACAGTACAGAAAACACAGACAGAAAACAGGCCACACATGGCCACAGCCGTAACACCTCTCCTGACATATGGAACAGTTTTCCACCGTGGCAGCAATGTCCTTGCCCATGCCTGGCCAGAAGAGGGCGTCCCTCGCTCTCTGCCCTCCTCTCAATCCCCATGTGCCCAGCGTGGATTCTCTCCAGCATATTGTTTCTTAGGGCTGTTGGCACTATGATTTTGTCACCTTTGAAGATGATGCCATGGAACTGTGAAATTTCATTTCTGAAGTTCCAGAAATCCAAAAGGTTTTTGGCACATTTTTTCCTGTCCTCAGGCCAGCCATCATGCACGGTGTGCTTCAGCAGGGTGAGCTGCGGGCCGCATTCTGTCGCAGCCTGTATCTCTGAGAGCTTTTTGTCACTTACTGGGAGGCTGTTTATGACTGAGTGGACCTGGTCCTCCGTGCCTTTGCTCCGCGTGCTGTCTTGGTCGAGCAATGGTTTCCTGGACAGTGTGTCGGCCACAGGTATGTCTTTTCCGGGCCGGTGCACAATCTCTGTGTCGTATCTCTGCAGCTGTAACAGCATGCGCTGCAGACGAGCAGGGGCTACGGAGATTGGCTTCTTTAATATGTGCTCCAACGGCTTGTGGTCTGACTCAACAATGACTCTTCTGCCGTATATGTAAGTGTGGAAACACTTGCATCCAAACAGCACTGCAAAGAGTTCTTTTTCAATCTGTGCATAGTTAACCTCTGTCGGGGTCAGTGTCTTTGAAGCATATGCTATTGGGTGTCTGTCCTGCATCAACACAGCTCCCAAACCATACTTTGATGCATCTACCTGTAGGCGTAGCTCCTTGGTCATGTCGCAGTATGCCAGTATGGGGCCTGGTTCTCTGGTTATGAGATCCTTCATTCGCTGGAAGACTCTGTCGTGATTCTGATCCCAGACGAACTCCGAGTCTTGCTTGAGCAGCCGACGCAGTGGTGCGTTCACTTCTGATAGTCATGGTGGGAATCTGGACAGGTAGTTCGCCATTCCAAGAATTGTCTCGAGCTCATTCTTATTCTCAGGAGGTGGCATGTCCTTGATGGCCTGTAGTTCCTTTG